TATCTATCCTCCTTATCCTCATAATCTTCACTTCCTACCACCTCCTCTTTCATATCACATACCTCATCAAGAACATTAACCTCTTCAAGTTAAAGGTCAATGGTTATCTATCCTCCTTATCCTCATAATCTTCACTTCCTACCACCTCCTCTTTTCATATCACATACCTCATCAAGAACATTAACCTCTTCAAGTTAAAGGTCAATGGTTATCTATCCTCCTTATCTCCTCATAATCTTCACTTCCTACCACCTCCTCTTTCATATCACATACCTCATCAAGAACATTAACCTCTTCAAGTTAAAGGTCAATGGTTATCTATCCTCCTTATCCTCATAATCTTCACTTCCTACCACCTCTTCTTTCATATATATCACACCTTATGTATCATAACCATTTTAACATGAATCTTCTAGCTTGAGTGACTCTCGTGACTTGTATTAGTTGAATTATACTATAAAATAAGTAATGAAGAGGAGAAGAAAAGTTTGACTAAATGAAATAAGTAAAAGTAATATTCACCAAAGAGTAATGGTTCACAGTATTTCATATTATAGGGAAATTTAATCAAGGTAATATATTAGGTTAGTTAAAATGAATGCAATAAGCTACTCACAAAGTGTAGAAACAAGATTGTTGTCTCAGCTGGAATTTCTGAGATATAGATTTACCATTATATACGTTTAGACTTTTGTTGTTATTATCACAACGTTTTGGTAACTGTTCTCTCTGACATTCTGCAGGAATTTGTTGAGCTGGGCAGCCTTCAAGGAAGTGAACACTTTATTTAATCTACAGGGAGAGATTGTTCTCGTTCCACTGTCCATGTCAAGCAGTAGCTTGTCTAGTTCTCTTTTTCATATGGCTCAATTAATGATAGACACATTTTGACTGTGTTGGAGTCTGTCTCACCCAGCCCAGGGATGGTATTTATCAATTCACCCACAGGAATTGAATGTGGCACAAGGCCTTTTTAATGTGGGTATGTCTGAGCCTGTAGGCCCAGCCAAAAATAAAACCCATCTAAACCCGTCCAAGCGGGCTAGTTCCGTCAACCTCCCCCAACGAAACCCTACCCTTCGGCGGAGCTTCGTCAGGGTTACACTCTGCAAGCAGAGAGTTCGACAGACACCCGGCTCGGCAGCTCACAAAGCACAGATACTACACTTTGATCCTAGCCACCGGGCCGAGCGGGTATTCTTTTTTGAGGGATTGAACTCACAATTATTATATCACAAAATTCATGGAACAATGCTTTAATCCACTAAGCTATTGTTTGTTGTTAACCTGAACAATCTTTAATTAATATTTTTAAAATTATTCCACCTCATGCAAGGCAATAAAGCCACTAAGACAAGTTGTTACTGAGTGTTAAAGAATATTAGAGACAAAAAAGCAACACTATTAAGGAGAGAGAACATTAAAAGAACAAGAAGACAAAAGATATGTCTTTTGATTATCATATATACTTAAGTATAGTGTGGGTTTTTATGATCAGTTATTTATGCACAAAAAATAGGGAGGGGGCACTATACACAAATCACTTTTTTTTGAAGAGGTTAAAAATCATGAATTTTCAGTGGCAGGTTACACTGTAGACAGTTAATTTTTTTTTTGTAGGGGTTAAAATTCATGCCAAAAAATTCAGGGGTCACACTATACATGAAGCTGGCTTATACACAAGTATATACGGTAGTTCTTGAACATGAACAAAAGAAAAAAGAAATTGGTGAACTGAATTTTTTGTATTTTTATTTTAAAATCTCTAATTCTAACAACACCATGTCTCAAAAATTTCAAATGTAAAATCTAAGATGCACTGACAAACGCAAATTTGTTTATTGTTTGTTTGGTACTTTACCTTTTATTAAACTAACCTATGGCAGACCAAATTCTAGTTTATTTGTTCCAAAGCCTATTAGTATCTAATAGAGGGAGGGGAATATTTATCTTTTATTTTATTTTTTAAGGAAATTTTTTTACAATTACTAAAGCCCTGAACCTACCAAAGCCCTGAGCTTAATAAGTTTTTATAGATGTTACTACAGACATGTTTCAGCAAAGTATCCTATTGTCATCTTCAGGTGTTCATTATTTCTGTCTGATATAGGTATATGTGTTGATTATTTTTATTTTGTCATTGTAATACTGTTCCTTGTTCACAATATTATTAACAGTAACAAAATGACACAATAATAAACACAAGATATTCCATATTAGCCAAAAATGGGCACCTGAAGATGGCTAGAGGGATTTGGTCGAAACGTGTCTATAATAATATTTATGATAATGAAGATAAGAGTAGTTCAAATGAATTGAGTAAGTCAAAGTATACTGACAATTCTTCATCTCATATATATAAAAAACTAAAATCATTAATACAGTTTTAACTAAATTTCAATTGTTTTCTATCGCAACTATTCAGACTACAAGCCTTCCATTATCTGTAAACAGCGTGAATCGGAAATGTAGAATAAGCTCTTGGTGAGATGTGCATTCCATTTCTTTGGGAAGTCTAGTTATCCATAGCAGCTGCTTTGCCGGTTGAATTCCTACCATTTTCCAGCTGGCAGAAGATCAGATCTAATCATATAATGTTACTCTTTATTTTTCTCCTCACAATTATTTGGCACAGTATTTTCCAGTTTTAATATATTGCAGAAAAACACAATTTACACATAGTTAGAGATAAAAAATTAAAGCTAACTATATACAAGTATTAGAAAACATATATCTCTAACTATACACCAATTTTCGTCTAGCTAAGTTAAGCACATGTTGCACTCTACTTAAAACAAATTTTAAAACAAACACAAATATATGAGAGTGCTGACCATTATCGACACGACTCTCACTTGCCACAGATGTCTACATCTACATCCATATTTCCCTTATATGGCTATAAGAGAAGCCAAGCAGAGAGAGAGACTTCACATATGCATACACACTAACCACAGAGGCTTCCAGAGAGCACGGCTGACTGCCTATCTTAGACTGTGAAAAAGATCTCCTGTGAACACAGAAAGGGAACAGACTTCACTATCAACGCGACAAGCCCAAACCGATAGCCAACTAGCAGTCAGCTGGTTTAAGCATACTTTTTTCACACTCTTATTTCACACCTCGTACACTATACATTCAAACACTACACTATATGACTTACAAGAGAGATTTTTCATATCTTGTAAATTAAAATAAATATTTGGTCATTTCTCCAAACCAGTGTCTAATTTGTTTCTTTACTCCAACCAACTTCCACCTTGGATCAAATATACAGGAGTTGTATTAGTAGTAGTAATATTATCTTCAATTTTTATTCAAGTAAACATTGTCAATCATTATTAATTTTCAACTTATATTTCTTTCATCTTCATTTTACTTGCTTTATTTATGCTTGTAGTAATATTATCTTGAATTTTTATTAGATAAAGCACTGTCAACCATCATTAGTTTTTGACTAGTATTTCATCTTAATTTTAATTAGTTTTCATAATGAATGATGTGCACAAGAAATAAAGAGAAAGCTCTAAAGTGTGTCATTAATTTCAAATCTGTTTATTGTTTTTGACAGTCTAATTAGTTGAAATTAAAATATGATGAAAGAAATACTAATAAAAAAAAGGCTAATCATGACAAAACAATTGAAATTGAGGTGTGTGAAATAGTATCCAGTTGTGATAAGTTGGATCAGGGTCTGATCAAACCAGATTTGATCAACTGGGGTATTGGGGTCTGATGATGAAATACCATGAAAACCTGATGATCCCAGTTGTAAAACATCCCTAACAACATCTCCCTGCCCATCAGAAAGGCATATGTTGCAACTACTACAATTTAGTAAAAAAGATGTAGCTTTCAACTTAAAATTAGAAAGGCAAATGCACAGATTCTGTCAAATAACAACCACCATAATTATTAAGCTTTAAAGGAAAAAAAAGAGACACTTGAAAGATTATGACAATGAAAGAGTTATCAAGGGTTAAATACTGTATTGTTATTTGAGTTGGTATATAATAGTAGCAGAAAGTTTAACTGCCATGATACTAAGCTGTCAATAGCTGCTAGCAAGTAGGTGACATAAGGTAAGGGTAAATTAAGTGGAAGATGAAAATATAGGTGAGGAATTCAATATTGAGTTCATTGATACAGAGAATGGAATAAAGTGATTAATGTCTTTGTTATCAAAAGTCAGGAAGCTTCTGGGAGAGTTTCTGCAAAATCACACTACGAAATGTTTTGACTGGATTAGTTGGTTGATTTTGTTTAGTGGCATATCAACATTTTCTGTGTTATTTAATGCCAAAATCTAAATATCTTCAACACAATGTTATTCTTCCAATGATAGTTATTTTATACATAATTTTATACTTTCACGGTAAATGTATGTTGTTAGATATATAGTTTGTATCTGATAAGATGTATTGTTGGGCATTTTTTTTGTAATGTATTGCTAGTAGTTTCACAAAAAATATATTGTTGGTAATCTTATATATAAAGTACAGTGTATGTCTGTGTGTGTCCAAGCAACTCCTCCACTCCCACTGGTCTGATTTCAATGATTCATAGCTTATTCAAAAGCCCTAGAAAAGTTAGGTGCAGGGAACAATTTTCGTTGAGCTCAGATTCAGGGTTGCCAGATTATGCAAGGTTAAAAAATATATATTAATATTTTATACTAGCCATTATCAATGCTTTCATGGTTCAGGGGGAATAACTCTTATTTTCCTTTTGTATCCAAAATTGCAGCTGTGTTATTTAATGCCAAAATCTACATAATCTGAACACAATATTATGGATTCAACTAAATATATTATGAATGTAATTGTAATAAAATTTATTGTTGGTCATTTTTTAATATAAAAATGTATTGCTGGTATTTTCATACTTTCATAGTATTTTGTTTGGGGGTTTACTATTTGCCCATAACTGGGAAACTAACATAAGATTCTACCAATTAACAATTTTGAGCAATTATCCATTACACCACCTGCACATCTAAGCTTACAGCATCAGGTATTCCAAAGTGGTTACCCATTTAGGTACTGACCAAATCAGTGTTGCTTAACTTCAGTGATCATATGGGAACCAGTGTTTCAACATAATGTGGCCTTAATCACTTCCTCTATGTTGAAAAGATTCTAGGATATATATGCATGATCATCCTTTATACACAGAAAATGTCCGTATATCTCATCCTAGAAAATAAGTACAAACAAATCGCAAAAAAGACTAATTTTATGTGAGGATAAAATAAAAAAATTATTGAACCTGTTAGGGGTGCTTACTTATTTCTCCTTACAAAGAAGGGTAACTCAAAATACAATGGAGTTACAGCCCTTGTCTGCTAGTTGGACCGCAGCACTTCTGAATTCACCATGGTGACAAGCTGGCATGCATGTATAACTTATGGTTTAAATCCAAACCAATCCTTGCTGTTGTCAGGCAGTAAATGAATAAAAGTTATTTTATTATATGTTAAAATACACTTTTATTTTCATTTGTTTTTGTTCATCCTAATAACTTGGGATTTAACAGAACCTTTAGAATTTTTGATTTCATGCCTTGGCTTCTTATTTTGCAGCATCTTGCCTGTAACTGTGGAGTGAGAGGAAGATAGCAATGTAGAGATTAAGTGTAAAAGTGATTTTCAAAGAATGTTTATTGATTACTAGTTATGTGCAGTAGAGAATTTGTAGATGAGGAGGCACCTGTAATGTGTAATGTATCGGAATGCAGGTAGATATGCAGTGATAATTACCTGTAGTTTGGCTGCTAGAAATGACAGGTGAAGGGAAAGGAGCAAGACTCAAGGTATAAATCCTTCAAAGAGTTTTTTTGGATCATTGACCTTGTTCTTTATGCTGCTTTTGTCGTTACTATGATGTTTCAGCCAAATCATTCTGAGCCTTCTTCATATGTACAGTGTGGAGCATAAATTGCTGTTACAAAATTTCAAATCAATTCTGCTTCTTAAATTTTTATCATTACATTGTTGTTTTATGGTTTGATACTCAACCAAAATGTATACGATTTATATTTGTGACCAATCTCTCTTAAGCTCAAACAAAAATGATTACAGTTTGCCAGTCACTGCCACTGAGCAGACAAGGAAATCATCTCATCCTTACTCCTATGGCATCTTTCTGGAAGTGTGCCTTCTCACAAAAATTGACTTTCCCCAGAGACCATAGGTCAGGACTCAGAGATGGACATTGGGGATCTGGAGACAGCAGTACAGGACCAAACAATGTGGGAAGGGGTTGTCAATGGAGTTCTGACCAACCATAGGGAGGTTGAGAGAAGATAATGATGATATCTATCTATATCAATATCTATCTACCAAGTGGACAGGGAAATCATCTCATCCTAATTTCTATAGCATCCTTCTGGAAGTGTCTTCTCATGAAAATTGACTTTCCCAGACACCATAGCTCAGGACTCAGGGTTGATAGGACTGAACAGTGTGGAAAGGGATTATCAATAGAGTTCCAATCAACCATAGGGAGGTTGAAGGGTGATGATGATGATGATACTATTTGTTTTTCAAATTGTTTTAGTATTTACTGGCAACAATGTCTATAGAAATCAAAAGAAAATGTATTTCTTTTTTTTTTTTTTAAATCATTTCACCCCATGCAAGGTAGGAATGCCACAAGTATGTAGGAGGTTAAAGAGAGTGAGAGAAAAAACTGAGTATAGGGAGGATTGAGGAAAGGACTAAAGGTGAAGAGGATTGAGGAAAGGACTAAAGGTGAAGAGGATTGAGGAAAGGACAAAAAATAAACAGAATTCAGAAATACAGAAGATGGTCATTGGCACTGCACTTAAATTTTGAAGAATGTAGTTATCAGGGAAACTAGAAGAGAGTTTCACAGGTGAAAATGTGATAAAAGAAACTATTGGAATAGCAGTGGCAGTTGCATTTCGCTATATCAACAGTAAACCTCTAGATGAATAGCAGGAGCACCAGACCAGATATGGCAGCTGTATTCAACACACAGGTGAAAGGTAGATTTGTAAATGGGCAAAATGGACTATGACGAGAAAAATTTTCTGGTACGAAACAGTGACCCAACTTTTCTTGCAGTAATTTCAGCTGTTGATTCAATCTAGCCACTCCACTTCAAGTCAGTTGAAAACCTGAGGCCAAAAAGGTGCAGTGTGTTGCTCTCCAGGAGTCTAGCATCAGCCATACTGATGGCAGTCAGAAAGTTTCTCTGTGATTGGATAAATGAGAGCAGTTTTGTTTTGGAAGTATTAAAATTTACAAGCCATTTCCTGTCCACTGATTGGAGATCCTTTTCAAGAGCCCGGTTTAATTTGTCAGAAATGAGCAACATGAAAACTGACCGACTCCACTAAGATTTTTAAAGCTGGACAACAACTTGGAATCAATAGAATGTTTTTCAAAAGGACAATCGATCAATACAAGTCTTCTTCCATAATTGCATCTTCAAAACACCAAAACTCTAATGGGTTTTGGTGTTCTGGAGATATGAGGATGTGTGTAAAAAATAATCAGGCATAATCCAAGAATGTCAATGAGAAAATTGACTAAGGAGGCTGGAACATGGGGAGGCTATGTTAAAATGATCTAGGGATGTCACCCCTACATGATAAACAAGAAACAGATTCTTTCAGCAGCCACAATGAAGAAGAGGTTTCAAATGTTTCAACCAATTCATTCTGAGCCTTCTTCATATGTACAATCTATATTGAAGATCTTTTCTGTGATTTCACAAAGTTGGTATTATTGCAGGAATTGTTCAGATAACTCCACTTCTTTGTTTCTTCTGTTGTTGCTACAGTCTACTTCAGTCATACAAATTTTAAGAAAACAAATGTTTTCTTCTTTACAGGATTAGATGGAAATCAAGGAAATGGCTGATTCCCAATAAAGAAATAAAAGCAAAGAATGTTTAGTTGCTTGGATAACTCATAGAATGATAATGACTCCTTTCAAAATTACAGAGAGCAGGAAAAGGGATCAGCTGAAACATTGTCATAATAATAAAAATAACATTAAATAATAATAAAAAAAGAGTTCAATAGTTTGAACAACACTTAGAATGATGATGTTTATTCTCAAAATTATAAAATATTAAGTTCATCCTAAGTATTTTTAAACCAAAAAAGACTTGTTTGTCTCTTTACATGTATCAAAATGAGAAAAAAGATGCTGTTTACTTTTTCCATATAGATTACAAAATAAACTTTTTTTCTTTTCTTATGAATTATGCACTCGAAGAATAAACTGGTCAAAATATTATGGTGGCAACAATAAACTGGTCAAAATATTATGGTGGCAACAATAAACTGGTCAAAATGTTATGGCTACAACAACAAAAAAAAAACCCACAAAGAATGAATTTGGTAGTTTGAACAACTTTGTTGAATGACAATGTCTCTTCTCAAAATTACAGAAGATTGAAAACATTGTCACAATAATAAAAAAAACAACACAATGAGTTCAATAGTTTGAGCACGTTTTGGAAAAGTAATATCACTTGCTGAAATTACAGGAGGCCACAGAATGGCTTGCTCAGAATATTATAGCTATAAAAACAAAGAATGAGTCTGAAGGTGTCTGAGAATGTTAACAATAAATCCTGAAATTATGACAGAGCCAACCATGTAGTTTGTATTGCAACTATGCTGAGCAAATATTAAGATTTCTGGGAGTGGGAGCTCACAATTGTATAATCAATAGTTGAACAAGGCCAGTACATTCAAACTCTTAGTCACGAAAACTTGCCACAAGTACTACCATCAACAGCTTCCAAACAGTTTTGTCTATCCAATTTCATTCATAAGGCTTCTTATGGTTTTTCAATCACTTGCTAGTAGTTCCACACACTGGGATTTTTTTAATCATTTCACTCCAAGCAAGGCAATATGAACATGTTTTAGCATTCTGAGTATGAAACCTGGGTTTGAACCACACTATGTTGATTTATTAGGATGATTTCTTGATGTCCTCAGCATGCAACACTATTGAAAAGTGCCTGATATTTGGCCAAGTTGTTAAAACATTGACTTTCTAATCATGAGACTCGAGTTTGAATCTCAGTATGGTCATTTTTTTTTTTAAACATGAACAAAAAATTCTTGAAGCTATCTATATTAAAGAATTAAAACCAAACCTTAGCAACACTTCAAGGGAGGTACCTGCATTATAAAGTTGTCAAGAGTTTTTCTTCAATTTAAAAAACAATAATAATTAAAAACTCTTAGTACAAACCTCAATATTTTAAACTGTCTACTGTAAACATTTTAAAACATTTGTGCAGTATTCATAATTAATTTTACTAAGGTTTGGTTTCAATTTTTTAATATAGATAGCTTCAAGAATTTTTTGCTCATGTTTAAAAAAAAAAAAATTATCATACTGAGATTCAAACCCAAGTCTCATGGTCAGAAAGTCGATGTTCTAACCACTTGGCCATTATATATATATATATATATATATATATATATATATGTATCTCAGGCACTTTCCAATAGTGTTGCATGCTGAGGATATCAAGAAGTCTTTCTAATAAACCAACATAGTGTGTTTCAAACCCGGGTTTCATGGTCAGAATGCTAAAACATGTCCATATTTTTATCTATAGCACAGCTAAGTTGAATAATTCATATTTAATGTAAACTCAGTCTGTTGAGAAACATTCTAGAAAATAACATCACTAACTCTCAACAAGTTCCGCATTACCTTTGTTAAATCATGCCTGAGGCATGGTTCTATGCACATGTATTGTACACAATTTATTGGCAGTAAACAACAAAACAAAAGAGGTGCAATGTGTAGAAAACATAAACATATCATCTTTCTCCATTCATAACTCAACAGCCTTACCTGTATCAGAAGTGTTACTTTACTAATGTTTCCCTTTCATTTTCTTGCAATGAGTAGTCTATATCTAGAAGAGTTGTAATCATGCCTTGAGTTGTAGAATTGGCCATGACAGCTGTTCAGGGTTAGTAGGCGTGAGGCTTGCTGATCTACAACAGTTAACAGTGCCTGCTGACTACGCTGCGTCAGAAAGGAATGAATGAATACATGTTAGTGCTAAGCACTTGTACTTATCCATCATAGCTA